GCTCCATTTCTTTCTTAACAATTTCTAATTTTCCTACATTCATGGTTCTCAATTCCATGTTCCAATCACTAGTGTCTGCTTACAACTGTATTTAGACCTTTATTAAAAACTCAGGTTGGTTTTGCCAGCTGAAATACTATATATCCAAAGCTAAAAACTCTGAAGATAGCACCTCGTGAGTCTTTTATAAGACATATTTCTCTCCTTTCCACACAAATGAATCGCACAATACATAATGCTATTTTTACATGTATTAATAACTTTTCAACTGGGTGTTTTCTGTTAGAGATAATTGCTGGGGAAAAATGCTTTAATGAACATCTTTTGTTTGTTTTTTGTTGTTAGGCTCAAGATCATGGACATTTGTAGTTTTGAGAGGTAATACCAAATCAGACTATTTAAGTGAGGCTCCCCGCCCCAAGTGCAAACAGTGGAAAATAATGACTTTCTCAGTGGTTCTTGACCAGGATTAGATGAGATGAAAGAAAAGCCACCAGTATCACAAGCAGCCTGTCAGTAAACATGTCTCCAGCTCTCTTTTAGCTAGAAAGGCAATTCTTCATGATACTGAAGTGAACTGTGGCCCTGAGCTCAGCAAACACAAATTCTACAGAAAATTCTGTAGGGCTATGTACAGTAAAGACCTCATTATTTAATCTAACTAAGTGGATTTTTGAGAAGTTTTCCAGAGATCATCAATTTGGCATGAATTGTAAATTGTGGGGTTGGCAAAGAGTATAAAATATACCATGGACTGCCGAGAGAACACACAAATCTATCTGGGAGGTAGTGCAGCCAGAGGTGTACTACCTTCTGCACCTTAGAAGGATGGTGAGCCTTCACCTCACATACTTTGGGCACGTTAGTAAGGTGAGGCAGTCCCTGGATGAAGACATCATGTTTGCAAAAGCAGAGGGTCACCAAGAAACGGAGGAAGACCCTCCGGGAGGTGCACCGACACAGTGACTGCAACAATAAGCTTTCACACAGAAGAATGAGGTGCAGTTTTCTGTTGTCTTCAGAGTCACTTGCACCTAACAATAACATCTTAATAAAGCTGACTGATTGCATGGGAGGACTGTCTTAATACCACTGATAAGAATTGACAGAATATTCTCGATTCCCACACCAGTGATGCATTAATTAGCCAGACATGCGCTCTGTACTGGGATGAGAACAATGAGCCCCAATTGAAGTAATCCATTGATTAATAAAACCCAGGCAGTGAAAAGGTGACGTTAACCAGGGCAAAAGAGGGGAATGTTAAGACTTGAGTCCTGATGTGTGTACCCCCACACCTCGGGGGGCCTGAGACATGATTTTAATCGGGGAAGGGAGCGGAGGCTGAGAATGGGCCGCCCCGGGGTCGAGGCCCCAGCCTCCCCGGCCGGAGGGCGCCCGGGCCCCGGCTGCGGCGAGGCCTCCGGCGGGAGAGACCGGTCCTCCCAGGACGCCCGGGCTGCGCTCCTCCCAGCCGGGGTTCCGCACTCGTGTAACCGCCGGACAGAGTCCCCGCCGGGGCGGCCCAGCCCCCGCCGGGAGGTGCGCAGTGTCGCCTCCAGCGAAGTCCCCGGCGGCGGGGTCCACGCGCAGGCCACCCTCGCGGGCGCGGAGAGCCCGTGTC